ATATATAGGAAATGGAAGAAGTTCTTGTACTTGTGATTTTCCGAGCTGGGGACAACAGCTAATCGTCAGACAGAATAAAAAGGAAAGAGAGTAACGATGTCACACTGGGCAGCTTAAAGTGACTAGACAGTTAGTTCACTGGCGTGTGAGGGGGTGAGTCCTGATTTGTATATGAGGGGGAACAACTAAGGCATTCCGCTCCGGAGGGGAAGGGGTATGGTGGGCTAGTTGCGTTCCATTTGGCTGGGTTAACGGTCGTTCAAGCGGAATTAGGACAAGCGATGGTTATTCGTTAATGTATGTCATCGAAATGTGCGTCAAAGTCAATATGGCGGTTGGTACCAAACCTCGAGAAATTGTTGCTCTCGTTCCGTGTTGGCCATGGCGACAGCCGCAGTGTCATTCCACTTAAATCTATGGCCGCAATTACTTGACTGCGCAAAGACGAGGAGCAGGGTGTTCTGCGGACGGACACGTCTTGGCACGCTCAATCGAGTGGGACCAGAGATTTAATTGTGGTGCCATTGAGTTCTTCGCCATTATCAGCACAAAACAAGTGCGAGACTATCTCGAGGCTTGGAACTATATTGTGGGTATCGTAGAAACTAAGCGTCCTTGCTTGTTGCACGTTTTTTATTCAAATCTCTAAGGAAATCTGAGGAGATGTAGGGAGGTTTTCTTTATTTATGCATCAATTAATGACCCGACTTTTAAAACGAGCTGTTAACTTACTTTGCATGAAGAAGACCAGCTGTGTCCCTAAAGCTGCTGCCATGTATACAGAACCAGCTCCCAAGCTGGGCATCCATGTTGGCAGAGAATGCAACTGATCCCTAACCGGGACTTAGTCACCCGCGGGCTGATACCGCGATTTTGTGTCTTGAGGGTCCACGCACATTTACAAGTATTCAAATTGAGCCAGTTTGATCACTGCTGCTTTTGCTTTTCCATTTGAAATAACTGACGTTTGATGGGTTTTACTGAAGGAAACTCCCGCACTTCTAGACGAAAGTCTCAGTAAGCATTCTGGCGGCTTCACTGAAGAGGGCGAAACGGCTTCTGTCTAATTGAAGCTAATAAAAGACCTGATGTAGACTGACCATCGGGTTGACGGGCGGTGTCGGCGGAGGGACTGCTCATGACTAGGGCCTATCACGCTTTAAGAACTATTTATGACATTAAAAAACAGACTGGACAGATCATGTCAGTTTTGTTCGTTGTTCCTGTACGCTCTACAAGAATGTGCTTCTTTATGCAAATTTCGCCTGTCCTTAGACGAATTGTAACGTGAAAAAATATTTTTGCATTACTAGGCTGGGAAGCCAGTGGAGCGGAAGCTGGAGGAAAACACTTTCGAAGCATCAAGAACACTAGTGATGACAATGGACTATCCACCTGTTGAGTCAAGGACCTTGTCGGCACTATCCTCATCACCAGCAGAAACTCGTTTTGCAGGGCCAGCAAATGCTGTCGGAGCTGATTTGGCAGATACAAACAATATTTCGAAGATAACGACAATGCAGACAGTGGAATATCAACCAGTAGAGCCGGCGACGCTTTCGGCACTATCATCATCGCCAGCAGACGCTCGTTTTTCAGCACCGACCAATGCTGCCACACACGATTTGCCAGAGACAAATAGTGTTTCGAAGACAATCTGGGAAGCAAGAGATGCCATTCAACTGTTTCAGAAGCGAAATAAGGAAATCAGCACGTCTCAGGTGGTTGATGAAAAGCGGCTGCGCAATCTTGGGGTAAGCTTCACAGTTGGTGAGAATCGTTAAGGATAAGACACTGACACGAGATATACACGGCACAAGTGGAGAATAGCATTTTCTGTGTAGGTTCTACGCATTCTAATGTTACTGTTGTTTACGCTATTCAGGTCATTGCTGAACGTCTGCAGTTCCTGCAGAATAAGGTGCAGGTACTTATTAGCTCAAATGGAAATGCCGCCGAGATCACTTGTGCGGATTTTGCCAACTTGACGAGTATGAACGACGAACTGCTCAGTTGTATCACAGCCTATCAACAGACAATTCGGAGCAAGGAGGTTTGTATGCACCTTCATCTGCCTGTCTTCCATTTACCACTGTTACATATACATTTTGTAGCATGTGAATAATTTGCATAATTGGTCGTTTTTCATTTCTGACGTACGATGAAGCGTGATGGACAATTTTGTTTATCCCTGCATCAATTAATTACCGAACTTTTAACACGAATTGATGACCTAATGTTCGGGACAAAGACTAGCTGTGCTCTGTTTGGATCCGGAAAGCTGTTTCAATAAACAGGCCCAAAAACCCAGGCCCAGCGTTGATGTCTACAGAAAATGCGACTGGGCCCTAATTTGGAGTTAATAAGTGGCCGGCTGACTTCGCGATTTTATGTGTATAGGGCCGGTGCACATTTACGGATATTTCATTTGAGGCAGTTTGGTCACTGCTGCTTCTACTTTTACTAGTTTATTTAACCGGAAAGACGCCAGTACCAATCGTCTGGGTCTGTGAATAGCGGGACTGCTTTTTCTTGCCTTTCCTTACGCGTATTATAACGCGGTAATATTGTTTTTTGCGTTCGCAGGCTCGAAAGGCACCAGAACGGAAGTTGGAGGAAAGCACTTTCGAAGCAGCAGGAACAACAGTGATGACAATGGACTATCCACCTCTAGAGTCAAGGACACTGTCGGCACTATCCTCATCACCAGCAGAAGCTCGTTTTGCAGGGCCGACGAATGCTGCCGGAACTGATTTGGCCGATACAAACAATATTTCGAAGATAACGACAATGCAGACAGTGGAATATCAACCAGTAGAGTCAACGACGCTTTCGGCACTATCCTCATCACCAGCAGAAACTCGTTTTGCAGGGCCGACGAATGCTGTCGGGACTGATTTGGCAGACGCAAACAATATTTCGAAGCTAACGGAAATGCAGACAGTGGAATATCAACATGAAGAGTCAAGGACTCTGTCTGCACTATCCTCATCACCAGCAGACGCTCGTTTTTCAGCGCCGACGAATGCTGCCGCACACGATTTGCCAGAGACAAATAGTGTTTCGAAGACACTCTGGGAGGCGAGAGATGCCATTCAGCTGTTTCAGAAGCGTAATAAAGCAATTATAACGTCTCAGGTGGTTGATGAAAAGCAGCTGCGCAATCTTGGAGTAAGCTTCACAGTTAATGAGATTCGTAAAGG